GACATGACTATGTGAAATATGAACTAATGACAAGAGACATGAGAATGAGCTATTAAGATAAGCTATGACTATAAGAATATGAAAAATGATGACATGAGGCAATAAATGAAATTCCGTGATAAGTGAAATGTTGAGTTAATAAAATAGTGAATGTACGACATGCATCATATACATATATAACTCCAGGTGTGTCGCTTATGTCGCATACCAGTGATGTACTGAGATATTTTAGGTGTACCTTAGGGTCACTAGTGATGTAACAAGCTAACAAGGTGTGCCTTAGGGTCACCAGTGATGTAACAAGCTAACAAGGTGTACCTTAGGGTCACAAGTGATGTAAAAGCTATGTGATGAAATGACTTATTCTAAGTGTGCCGCTTAGGCCGCATACTAGTGATGTAACAAGCTATGTGATGAAATGATGAGAAATGTGAGACTTCTGTATGGCGCCACATGCATGCATTTATGAGTCGAGTCCATGACATCATGTGATATTGATTGTGTATGTGTATTGTTTACATGTGACTTATGTTTGTTTTGTGTGTGTGCTATCTAACCTTTATTTTTGCACCTGAAACCGAGTGAGATATTTCTCACTCCCTTGTTATTCTTGTACATGTTTAAATTATGTTGCAGGTGATCATCATCATGAGGATGTTGTTGATGGGGCTTAAGGCTTTAGTTGGGCATGCTCTGATAGGATGTAACATCGGGGCATAGCTAGGCTTAGTTTAGGATGTTATTGTTTTAATAACCTTAGTTTCTTTTCTTTTGTAATTTCTAGCGAAGGTATAACGTAGATAAAGTCTATAATCCAAGGAAAGTGTATGTTGAGAATTGTAATTTTGAATGTTCTTGATGAAAGGCCAAAGTGTGCATCTTTGTTATATTTTTATTACATGATTTGGAAGTTATAAATTAATTCCTAACTAGGAGGCACTGCCACCTTTACTGGAATTAATCTATATTTCCTTTATTATTTTTTTTATGATTTCTTGAGTTTTGATACTTATATGTTGACATTTTATGATTTATGAATTATGAATGTAAATCTTCTACCTTATGATATTTGAGACAATTGCTTTATCCATGAAAAATGTTGTCAACTATGAAATATTTTATTTACTCAAAAAGAAAAAGAAAAAAAATATTATTGTTTACATTTATTGTGTATTAATGTTGGGGTAGAGGGTATCACATTAAAACTCTACAAATTGAGAAATTCTTATGAGTTTAGTTGTTTAGACTTATTTTGTGTTGATGTCAAAGTTGACTGAGAATTGAAAAAGGTATATAAGGTTTTCAAAGAACTTGAATTTCATAAGTTCATTTCTTTGGATTTTAAAGAGAAGTTTTAGAGATATAAGCTTTGGAGTCAAGGAAAACCTTTTTCTTTTTGACTTTATCAGGAGCATCTAGATCTTTTCTTGGAGTAAAGTTTGTGTAGTAAGAGTAACGATTGAAGTTAAGGAACTAGAAATAGATAGAAGTTGTCGTACAACAAGTTTCATAGATTATCGTTCTTCACCAAAATTCCATCTTTGATTTCTAGAGCAATTGAGTTAAGGAAAATTTTGTAATTTATCTATCTTGAGTTGTAGTTGTTGATTTTTGAGTTGGTTAGCCCATTGGTGGCAATTATGTTGAATATGTTGCTTTGGTTTTCTAGGTTTTTGGATGTTTATGGTGTTTGTGTGACACCCTCTACCCCAACATACATATATAATAATTATAAAAACATCTTGGGTTAAATAAAATCTCTAGAATTAAAACAATGGTTCCACTACATAAGAGTAGAGAATTCACATTCGTAAAATTAAATCATAGTCAAATGCGGAATTTATAAGAAAATGAAACATGAGTTTTTCCAAAACAAAATAATAATAATGAAATCCTAAACTAAGCCTAGCTATACCCCGATGTCACATATCCTATCAGAGCATGCCCAACTGAAGCCTAAGTCTCATCACAACTAGAGCTGTCAAAACGGGCCAACCCGATCCATGTGGGCCAGCCCACCTTGGCCCACTTTGAAAACGAGCCAACTCAACTCGGCCCACTTTTGATTTTCTAAAAAAAAAATTGGCTCGGCCTGGCCCACCACGGGTTGGTGGGTTATACAAGCCAGCCCACCAGCCCACCAAAAGTTAAAAAAAAATTATCAACAAAATTCAAAATTTTAAATTAATTATAAATTAACATAATAGTCATAAAATTAGTATAATTATTAGTTATAAGTCATAAATAATAATAAAAAATTAAATCAAAATAATGAAAACAGTAAAAAATAAATTTTTTTAATATCCCATCATACAAAATTAACTACAAATCATACTTAAATTTTTATTGCAAAAAAAAAAAAATTGGTAGGTTGGTGGGCTACACGACCCACCACGGGTTCAGCCCGGGTGGCCCGGGTCAAAGTGGGTCGGGTTGAGATATACCCACCTACTATAAAACTTCAAAAAAATTTTGCCCGACCCGGCCCGTTTTCAAGGTGGGCCGGGTTAGCCCACGGGTCCCCAGCCCACTTTGACGACTCTAATCACCAACATCCTCATGCTGATGATCACCTGTAACACAATTTAAACACATATATAGAATAAGAATGGAGTGAAAAACATCTCACTTAGGTTCAGGTGCAGAAATAAAGGTTAGACAACACACACACAACCAACATAATACAAGTTACAAGTACCAATCACATATAACAATACACATTCACAATTAGTATCACATGCACACTCATTTATCATGCAATGATGTTAGGGACTCGACTTATAAATGATGCATGTGGCGCGAATCACATATCACGTATCACTTATCACTGGTGTGCTGCCTAAACAACACACCTAGGGTAGTCTAGGAGTACATGTAGGGAGCTACCCATACACTCTCAACTAGAAGGATGTACTGCTAGGGTCTGTTCGGGATAGCAAAGCTGCGCAAGTTACGCCTCGTGCTCACAAACGGGCGGAATCGAGACATTCAAACCAAATTATCCCCTAGGACTCCCCCAAGCTGTTTCACAGGAGGGTCTTCCCTAACGGTGTACTCCATATCGTACTCGTTTCATAGATGCACATGATGCATGTGACACACATTCACACTTCATGGACTCATCACTTGTCATGGAACTTCATGTCTTATCTCATTTCATCACGTTTCACATTCTCATAGTCATAGTGTTCACAATAGCACGTATTTCACATCATGTCTCATAAAACACATCACTCATGTAATTACAATAATAAGACAATTTCCACACAATTTGTACCATCAAACAAGACATAAAGCATGTAAAACATCATAGGGGTCAAGCTTGGCATGCCCCAACTCGCGCCTGGTGCATTAAATGCCACACCAAAAAGCATAGCATCACGCCTGGCGCCCCTAAGCGCGCTCGACAAATTTAATGTCGCGCCTAAAGCGAAGATGGTAATTCATTTATGGTAATTACCATATATAAATTCTCCATCCAATATATGGTAATTCATTTATTTGAAGGATTTAAATTTTTTTGAGGTGAAATGCTTTGTTTGGATGGAGAATTTATAGAGAATTTGAAATCCGAGCATTTGTGAAATTCCTTAAAATAGTAGAATTTCAAATTCTCCCAAAAATTGGGGAATTTGAAATTCCTCATATTTGTTTTTCTTATTTCACCTATATATTTTATCTTATCTCTTCATTCTTTTAATTATTGAATATTCAAAAATATTTTTAAAATTATTAAATATTTAAAAATATATTAATATTTATTTTTATAAAATTTAATTTAAAAATTGAATTGACTCATCCAAACAAAATATTTTAAGAATGATAGAAATTGAAATCAAAGTAATTCAAATACCAAGAATTTAAAATTTAATTTCTTAAATTTTGTAAAATTCCTCATCTAAACACACCATTAAAAATCATGTGATTTCGTTTATCAAAACTATATAAACTCTTTCTTTGAGAGATTTTAATTTTTCATTTGTCACCTTCTAATAATGATGAGATGGTAAAATACTTGGAAGGATGATATGTGTGGCCTAAGGACCATAGTTTATTTTATAAATTACCTAGAATTACCTGAGTATTTCTGTTTTAACTTGTCACAAAATATAATAAAATTTAGTTTCTACCTATTAAAATTCTATCATATTTAAGCACAACTAAACCTTTTAATTTATTGATATTAAGGCTTAGCATGAGAATATGATCAATCTGATGTTCTCAAATTCGATTCCTACAATATTAAATAATATTTGGTCCCTTAAAAATCACATCCTTCAAATACAAATAAGTAAATATTGATTATCATATTTAATGTTCGTAGAAAAAATACTATTAAATACATTAAATTATAAATTAGTCAAAAAAATCACTTTTAATTGAATTTTACTTTAAATAACCATCTACATACATAATTATTCATATATAAAGGGAATGTTAGAGTAAGCATCTAACCCTTTAACTTGGAGCATTTAAAATTCAAAATCAAATACCATTTTTTTCCGAAATATAAAATTTAGGGGAAAAGATGAAGCTCCAATCAGGAAAAATCTCTGCATAATAACACTTACAACAATATTACATTTATTTCAATAGGAAAAAAATGAGTGAAGGATCCAACAGATGACCTATCACATGCCAAAAATTGTACTATATGACATAGAAGAGTGAAGTTTAAGGGTGTTTTTTTTCTTTCTAATTTCATTCCTATCTCAAAGCATCTAAAATTAATTTTCTTTTAATATTAGAATATCTGTCCATGTGCCGTGAAACATGGTAATATACATGATGGTCTCAAATATGTTTCTCTTCCTCAATGTCAACTTTTATTGGGCCTATGTTGGAGGACAGAAGCCCATAAACGTGCCCTGTGAATGAGTTTGACCGGAATAAAGAAATCAAATTATAGGGAAGCAAGAGAGAGAGAATTTTGACTTCATTATTAAAATATAAATTTTACAATACAATACTCATCAGAGTATGAATCAATATTCCTTACAACTAAAAAACAAATAAACAATTACATTGAAAAAACAGAAAAGCAAATACAGTAAGCCTCATCATCCTTTGTACAAATTAATAGCCAAATTATTTTCAAATAGTGGGTTTCCTTAAGGAGAGGGCTAATCTTTTCTTCTTTTTTCTCCTTTTTCTAGAGAGATTTATATTAGAACTTACAAGAAGAAGAGAGAGTATGTAATAGAAAAGGAACAAAGCTTATGGTGGGAGATCGCACCCTTGCAATTTATATCCCACAACTTAACTAGAGACTCGTTGTTATATTTTTTTATTAGGACCTCTAATGTTTTGTCACTTTTTTTAACCAAGGATTTTCCTCACTACCCTTGAAGACTATCTCTATCCAGACATAAAAATCATCAAAGTGAGAGTTTTAAGTTGATCTAACTTAGAACTTGTTTGAATATAAATTATAAGTATTTTTAAAATTATTTTACCAAAAATAAAAATATTTTTGGTAAAGAAATTTTAAATTTTTTTTAAACTTATATTCAAACACACCGATAAAAGTCTTCTCCATATGCAAGGCAGAAATTGCTACCACTTTTATTTTGGGTTGATCAGAAGACAAGCTAAGAAAAGAATGGCTAAATGTTTGAGTCTCTTTATTAGAAGTGTGATATGCATCTTCTATGGCGTGCAGCCACTGTTTTCCTCTTCTGTTTGGTTTCCTCTTTCCAGCTCTTGGCGATGTCATGAGCCACATTGATTGCATCCAAAGAAGCACCAGAGAGGCCTCTCCTTGTGAACCCAACAGCATAGAGACCACCTTTGCCCTTCCACCCATTTGGAAATGGGTTTCTTGGAGTCCCATCATTGGAAAAGAAATCATTCTCCTGAGACACCACAAAACATCATTTTAGTTAAGTGCATTGAACCAACAAATTCACTTGTACAAAGTCAATAACTAATTCCTGTAATTGCATTATTATCTACATTTAAATTACTTGCCCCTTAAAGAGAAACATTATAACATCTAAAAATGTACTAAACAACCAAGTACCTACAAATGCCTACACATTTTCAAAATACATTGAATATTTTTCCCCAACACTCAGACACATTAAAGAGGGTCATAAGGCTCTGCGGGGGACTCAGTAATGGTACAAAACGACTCGGAGGAAAAACACAGAACAAGTTGATAGTAGTAGAAACACTCGTTGTATACTTAGACATATGAATATTAATAACAAAAAAAAACGACCAGGCAAAACTAACAACCTGACATGGTTTTGGTTTTATTGAGAGAGAGAAACTACATGGTTAAACCAAATCCACTTCCATAACTGTCAGCAAGAATCCAATGCAAAAGAAATGTGTCAATACATGAATATAAATTACAAAGGACTAACCTTTAACCATGATGGTACATTGCTGTGGTACCCAGTTGCAAGAACCACAGAATCAATCTGAAGAACTTGGCCATCAACAAGTTCAACTTTCCCTGGCAAGAACCTTCTGATTCCAGGAACCACTTTGATTTTGCCAGATCTAATCTTCTCAAGGGCCCCAATGTCCAACACAGGGGTCTTCCCTGCAGTGTGCTTGAGTTCCAAAGGTCCTACCGAAGGCCTTTTAAGACCATATTTTTCAACATTCCCCAAAATCAAACGAACCAGAATCAGCAATATCTTATCAACCATCCATAGAGGCAGCCTCTTCATCAACATCACAGCAACCTCAAAGGTAGATTTCCCAAAAATTTCTCTTGGCAACACGTGAACCTGATCATAATAACACAAAAAAAAAGAGTTAATATTCATCATTATTTCAAATTGGTTGACAGTATATAAAAATGTACTCATGAAAGAGATGGCCAACATCTGTTTTTGATCAGTTGAAACATGAAAGTGAACTTGACTCTCAGTGTTTGAATACAAATTTGAAAGAGTTTCTTTATAAATAAAAATAAAATAAAATAAAATAAAATTTATCAGGAGAAATTCTTAAAAGTTCTTCCAAATTTGTAGCAAACAGACTATGTATATGTTAAACTCAGAATAAAAAATGCTAACTTTGGAAGAAGAATAAATTAAAAGGGTCAAGAGAAATGTCTTTTTTTAGCACTTACTGAGCTTCTAACAACCATAGATGTTTTTGCATTGTGGTTACATAGATCAAGTGAGACTTCCATCCCTGAGTTTCCACACCCAACAACAAGCACTTTCTGTCCACCATAACCCTCCCCAGATTTGTAGTCACAAGCATGCATGACATGTCCACCAAACTCCTCCAACCCTTCAAACCGAGGCACCACTTTCTCAGAATTCTCACCAGTGGCAACCACAAGCCACCTGCAAATGTACTCAACCTCACAGTCAAAACCCTTCTTCTTCCTAATGGTCTTGACCCTCCACAGGCCAAAGGTCTCATCGTACTTCGCAGACTGCACTGTTTCATTGAACTGTGGGGCTATGTTGAAGTGCTTGGCGTAGGACTCAAGGTAGGTTATGAACTGAAACTTTGTGGGGTATTCGGGGAAGTCCTCAGGGAAAGGGAAATTGGGTAGTTGGCAGAATTGTTTGGGGAGGTGAAGCTTGAGGCGATCGTAGGTGCGGTTTTGCCAGAGAGAGGCAATGCAGTTTGCTCTCTCTAGGATTACGAAGGGGACACCTTGGTCTTTGAGGCCTGCAGCCACTGCAAGACCTGAAGGGCCTGCACCTACTATCACAGGTCCATTCACCCATATGCAGCGCCTTGTGAAGAGGTCCTCAGGGTCGAAGGTTTGAACCATTGGTGGCATGTTCAGACATATGTCATGCATTTTTGGTTTGGGATGAAAACAAGTACTTTGGTGTGTGTGTGTGTTGTGGGGGTGTATTAGGCACTAAAACTATGGTGTGGTTTGAAGGTGTAAGAGGTTGAGGGATTGACTTTTGTTTTGAAGGGTGGAAGAGAGAGAGAGGGAGAGAGAATGGGGTGGGATTTAGTTGAGTTGAAGAGTGGAGAGGGTGGGGGGAACTAGAAGGCGTATAAATAGTGAAAGGGGTAGGGAGCCCAGAGGAGCATGTGAGGTCATTTGAAAATAACACTTATTGGATGTGTATAGATATCTAATCATTCAAGATATGAGATTAGACTCAATATGATAAAATATTTGTATAATATATGATTGTATAACTATTTTATGATGGAATTAAAAGATAATATATTTTTTAATTAGTTATTATACATGTTACAAGTTCTCTACTTGGTTCTTATTTTGGTTCTCATACATAAAATTTATTAAATTATTCTTTACACATGTAAATGTAATTAATTTTCAAGATTTATATATGGAAAGAAAAATGTAGTTGGAAGAAGAGATTCGTGATTAATTACAATTATTCAAAAACTTTTATATTATTGATTTGGTTTGTCATTTTAACTCCTATACACATTCTTAATCCAACTTATATACATTATAGGACATTCTTAACTTGATCTTTATACATTAGGACTAAATTAAGAATGCATGTGTAAGGAGTACATTAAGAATGTGCTATATGTACAAGGATCCTATTAAAAATGCTTGAGAGAGTTAAGAGTTGATGCATGATGATAAAGATAAAATCATTAATGTTTATTCATAAGGTGAACAGCTTAATAAATTCTTACGTAAATGGATTAAATTATATATTTAACATTTTTAAAAAAATAATTGATAATATATGCTTTGCTAATATGATGAGATCTTAATTTTTGTTAAATAGACCACAAGTACGAGCAATATAAATACTTTGTCTCGAAAAAGACCCTTTGAAAGTATTTGGTACATACTCCTCAATTTTTTTTATTGTCATTAAGGTTATGCACAAGAATTAAGACAATTATTGATATTTTAGTTTTTCAAAGTATTTATTACATATTTTTCTGTTATACCTTTTAAGTGGTTGGAAAAGAAATAAGTACATTAGAAAATAAATAAACACATTGTTCAGTAAACATGCATTAATTATTAAGGGTAAAAATGAAAAAGAAAATTAATAAGTCATTAATTTTAGAAAAGTGACAATAAAAAAAAATAACAAAATCTGACAAAACGACTATGAAATAAAAACGGAGGGAGTAACAAATTTTTTTATGTTTGGGATCGTGATTCCTAGGAATCATAAATTCTGATAATTATTACTCTTAGGAATCATAAAAATATGTTCGATTGGTTATAAATATTTTTGGGAATAGTTTTAAATGTTACCTAAAAATCAAGGATTTTTACTACATTAAATAAGCAAATAAAGGTAACATAATATTTTTATTGTAATAAAATTTTATTTTTACCTTAAGAAAGTTAATTTTTCTCCTCCTCATGAGAATAATTTTGTGAAAAAACTATACAAAAATCATTCTCGGAAAACAAGGCCCTCTATGAATGTTATTTTTTAAATAACAAATCAAACATGAAAAACTAACATTCATGATGTCAGATTCTCAGGATAGTAAAAAATTTGTATACCAAACACCCCCTTATAGATAATAAAACTCCTTTTTCGAGTATTTAATGAACAACTCCATATTAGTTAGTCCAAACACAAAGTATAATGAACATATTTTGTATTATTAGTATTTTTTATATAGATTATATGTATCCAATTTTATTGGAGACAATCTTGTTTAAATTAGGTAAGACTACTATATGTTCTGTATTGTGGTCTAGTTATAAATTATGTTATATAAATATGTGATAAATTTATAAATTTTTATAATTATTACTTTAAATTTTATACATATCAACGATACCTTAAAAATTATACTCTTTTGTTTATTGTTCGAAACATTGTAATACTCTCTATCCCTCATGCATAATAATATATGGACAAAGATTTATGAAAAGAATACAATATTAAATACTTCAAACTAGAGGTAAAAGGTCTCACATTCTAAATTCTAAATTCAAAGGTAAACCTAAAGTATTACAAGAACTTGCAGAAATGTTATTAAAAGAAATAAATTACAATTCCTAGTGCAAAAAAAACATAAAAACATATTCCTAGTAAACTTCGATGTCATAGGTAAACAAAGTTTTCCTTTCCATTAACTAAACTTCTTCAAAATGAAAATCTCTTGCAAACACATATTGAAACAAACACAAAAAAATATAGGAGTGAGAACATATCTCACTCTAGCTACTAGTGCAGGATAAGGTTGGATAACCACAAAAATAATACACTTAGACAAAATATTCATAGAGTTCATTAATCCACTACCTTAATTAAATCAATACTTCTCAATTCGTATACCACCACATCATAACATAAACCAAATAATAATTCAAACGCAAATAATATGCTATGGTCAACTAGACTCTCCTAACTACAATCATATGGCACTTCTAAAACACTTTTATATGAAGGTTAAGTAATCTAGAAGTACATGTCAGGTCAAGTCATCACAATACTCTATAGTAGAAACATATACAACTAGGGCCTTGTCAAGATTGTTGAGTCACACAAGATCCGACCCATGCATATATACAATGAGCGAGATTTAGGCTTCGCAAACCAAACTATCTTTGAGGACTAATCTTCAAGCTTTTACACAAGAGAGTATTCCCTAGTGATGTATTTCATATTGTAGTCATCACAAAACACATATGCACATGATGAATGACATTTAAGACTTTACACATATTCAAATCACATTTTCTCATCAACTCATAGTTCTCAAGACTTCTCACAATGAACCAATTATCACATTCTTTATCACATAACACAAATATTTATCACTTATCACAGTTTGTATTCAAGAATATCCCTTAGTTATCCTTGATCAGGCACACAAGTTAAGCATACAAAATTTGAACTCACAATCAAGGTTGTGCCTAGCGAGACATACCCCGCGCCTAGCATATTCGAGGTCGTGAGCCTTTGGAAGGATCATGCTTGACGTAATTCTTACTGCATCTAATGAGATGCGTCTAAAGGGTCTCTAGAGTTCTTGCATCTAGTGTGACCAAGTGCACGCCTAGCGTGAATGAGGCCACAAGCACTTCAGAACTATCACATGTAGCATGAACTACCTTATGTTTGGCGTGATCATCCAAGGGAGTAAACTTTAACTACTGCACTCGACAAGCCCAAGTAGTCGCTCAACGTGGCATCAATAAAATAGGTTTTGCATAAATCATGATTTTTAGACATGTTGATTCTACAACTACTACAAATTTAATCAAGTAAGGGGTGTCTAATGTCTATTTAATTTCGTTCTCAAACATGTATTTATCATTATTCAATTAGTTCTACAATTAAGGGTTTAAATACATCTTTAAGGTTTCTCTATAGGAACTCACAAACACTCATGGATTCATGATCAAATTAAGATCATAGTTTAGACACTTATCACATACATATAATATTCAAATCACAATATTCACACATGGCGAATTCATATAAGGATTACGTTTAATCCATCACCTACACACACATACATCTTAAGGATTGAGGGTCAATAATCTCAATACTCAATAATTATTCCACACTTTAACGCAATGTTCTCACTACCTTCTTACCTTGATGGATGCCTTAGGTTCGCCTCCTTCTTTTAAATCACAACTTGCCTAATCAAATTAAAAGTGAGACAAACCTAGCATTACTAGCATATCAAACAAAATTCTAACCCTCACCCACACCCGTAATCCATCAATAAAAACTGAAATTAATTTAACCTCACAATTCAAATTTTTAAAAAGATAAATAACAACTATTATTTTATCCCTTAAAATATATTATCTACAATCAATTAATTAAAAAATATTTTATTAATAAATTTGAAAACGGAAGATGTTAAATGTTAAAGAAATTTGTAAATGTCAAATTAGTTTTATTGCCTATTTTAAATTAAGAATATATATATATATATAGAAAAGGTTTAAAAGTGTTTTTAGTGTAATTTTCTTTTAATACAGCTACAGTAATTAAGTGTAATTTCTCAATAAAAATATAAAATGTTACATGTTATATTTAAATTTTGTATTTTTAAAAGAAATAAATAAATTTTATTATATTTTAGATAATTTAAACAATAATAATTAACGTTACTTTATGTCATTTCATTCTATCTGTTATGAACGATACATAGGTACGCTTAAACGAAGGATTCTCAAATGATTTGCTTGTGGGCCGCTATATTTGTTTATTACAACTAATATTTTATTTTATTTTTATGTTAATTCTGTTCATAAAATTTTGATCGAATGATTTGATTCTTTTACTGTAAATAAATATATATGCGTGATAAAAGAACATTCCTATAACCCATTTCTATAATCATGTTAATTTATTATTGTTGATTATTGAAAGCGAAAACCAACATCTCGACTCATAAAATCTTAAGGTGGGCATAAATCTAACACTTCATCATTTATTAGATTTAAATCGATTCCTTTTAATTAGAGAATGGCGCAATTAGTTTTCTTTAATAAGAACTTGATCTTAAGAAGATATGGTAATATTAATAGAATAAAAAAATGTACCATTTCTCGTTAACTTTTGTTTATGTAAAAACGTAATAAAATATAATTTTATTTTTACATCTCTAGTATCTAATATCTTTTTATATTGTGTTGTCTCTTATTTATATTATTTTTCATTATATATTTTCTTTTATGGATATTGATCTATGCAATGTCTTAAAACTGACTAAGATTAATTTGTACTCGTAAAACATGACTTATGCTTGATCATGTATTATTTTAAATTCATATGAGAATTAAATATGGAAGCATCAAGTCAATTTCATATTTCATGACAAGCCTTACAATCACTAAATCAAGAGGTTTAATTATTTTCATAACATTTTTAACATAATTAAACTTATTTAAGATTATTAAATAACATGTGTCAGTTGTTTAATAAAATATTATTTTTTTAGACATATTTTATGAAATATTTTAAATTTTGTTATTTTGTTGCTTTACTAAATAGCTATTTAACTTGTTTTAAATTTT